AAGCCTTTTTTGAGGAAATTATCAGATTCGTAAAACAGATTAGATAGTCTGCTTAAGGCAAATTCACTTAACAGCCTGTGTGATGTCCCCTTTCTTATCTTCTCTCTTTGTACATACAAACTGTCCCTCCCTCCTTATAGTGACAGAGGTCATAATCAATCCCCTTCTTCTTTTCATGTAGTTTAACACAAAATTTCTCTACAAGTAAGCCTTTCTACCTTGCACATTAAGCTAAATGTCCCCTTCCCAGCCTTCCAGCTCACTGCTGCATTTGGGCTTCATTTAGTCCAATGCTTGAAGAGTTGCTGCTAAAATGATCTCTGCACTTTTCTTTGTTGGGTTTGCCAGTATATCAAAATAAGAATCTTGCCCTTGCCTTTGTTTATTTTTACTCTATACTGTCAATTTGGGATTTCCTTTCTGTTACCCAAATGCCTTCTTTCCCAGTATCCTTTCTGCCGTGGGGAGTGCTCTTTGATGGAGTCTGAATTTTCATATGCACCTCAGTGTTCCCCTGTACTGGGACTGTGTGAGCTTCTGATGTCTAAACACAGAAGAAGTTGTGACTGGAGAAGAGAACACTAAGAATGTGTAAGAAATAGGTGCTGATCATGCTTCAGGAAATCCATATCCCAGTGTATTAGATCTCCAGCCTCATTGTTTGGAGAGCCATGCTCTGAAAGATACAAAGAGCAGTAAACCCTGCTACTTTCTAATAGTGTAAATCCCCTCTACCAATAAATAATCTCCAAAATTAAACCACACATATTACCGTCTCATTTTATTCTCACCCTGAAAAAAAAAAACATGCTCTGAAGTCAAAGTAAGAAGTTACCAGATTATGGAATCCACTTGCATATTCAAAAATTCCCTTGAGTTGTAACAGAAGCATAAATTATACAATGCTGTTGAGAGATATTTGAAAAAAAGGCTATTTATCTATTATATACCATAACATAAGGTCCACTCTCAGATTAACTAATATCAAGTAATCACAACTTTATGAATACCCTGATTACCTCTAGAAAGATTTATAGGATGTTATCAAATAATAAGCTATTTGCTCATCATTATGTGTGCCAACTAAGCCATTCCTATCATAGAAAAGCAAGAAAACATAAAGATGGTGGAAGTTGGCTTTGCATGGAGGATACAGATTTGGAGAAGTAACTATTTACATTAAGCAAAATTAGTTGGCAACAAACTTCTTAGAGTTCTTAAGACCAGCCTTAAACTTAAACTTGTTAGTTTCTATGAAACTGTCTACCAGTGTCTTTTTGTAAAGAAATAGTAAAAATTTTGTAACAGTAATAGAGCTTCTACTGAAATTTTGTTTTCCTATGAGGAAATTTAATAGGTGTCACATTCCATAGTAAAAACAAACAAGCAAACAAAAACACAAACCAAATCAAACCAAAAAAACCCCAACTCCCTGCCACTACCAAAAAAAAAAAAAAAATTTAAAAAAAAACCCAACTGGCTGCATCAGGTTTTTTTTTTTTTTTTTTTTTTTTTTTTTTTTGTTTTTTTCAGATTTTATATTGTTTTGACTGTGTGGGAGCAGCTGTTTTGTTTTTTGTTTTTTTTTTTTTCAGATTTTATATTGTTTTGGCTTCCAGAAAGATGTAGAATTTCCAGACCATATAATTTTGGATGCTAACTGTGTTTTGTCCCACTTGCTTGTAATCTGAACACATTTGAGATAATTTCTCTGGAAACAAGGATTCACTCTTTATTTTCAGGCTATGGTGTGCTGTCCATTCTTGAAAAAGAATTCCCCAGTGTAACTGGCGAGGTTAAAGTTATTTAGGGCCTTTTTTGCCAGAGAAGAAATTCCATTTTCCATCTAGTTTAATGTTCTAATAGTTATCTTTGGGGGTTTGATTCAGGCTTGCTGATGTCCATCAGGCTCTTTCCACTGCTCACAGAGCCAATATCATCAAATTTTCATTTGGCTTTGGTCACTGCTGCCTGATTTTCAATACACTTTATCATTACACTCACAGCTAGTTTTATTTAGATCAGAACTGTTGATACAGGGATTATTTAGATTTTTTTTATTAACCTGCACAGCTGTTGCTCCTCATAATTAGTGCAGTACATCTGGCAGGTGTTCCAGACAGACCTCTGTGAAGGCAGTCTAGTCCACATTCAAACAGGTATCTTGCCATTTTACAAGAAGAGTTTCTTTCTTTCTTTCTTGACTTCACCATGAGGTCAATAATTTTCCATAAGTTTATGTGAGGAAAAAGTTTGTTGAAACAATATCCAGGGCCTCTTTTTAACAATAATTTTCCTTTGCTATATCTTGCCAAGATTATTTAAGCCTCCCAGTGCATATTTATAGGAGGCCTGGACAATGATGGAGATCTCATTCAAGAGTCTCAGTATTCCATTGCTTTATTAAAAAGGAGAAATTTTACCCTGCTGTAGCTTTCCGATTCCTGGGAGAAATGTGTTTTCACAGGTTACTCCAAGGTCCATAGTGTAGATATTTACATCCAACAGGCAGTCATGGTGCATGCCTTTACCGTGATGGATATATTCCAGAGGTGGATCTATGCCAGACCCTTTGCCACCTGCTGGCCCCTCACCTGAGCCGTGCCAGGCTCTGGCAGAGCTCTGTGCTCCCTGTACCAGGGATAAGATTTCAAACCACTGCTGTAAAGCAAATGCAGAGCTCTTCCAAGACAGGCTTGGCTAATGCTGCCTTCAGATGGAACGAGTAGAATATTTACTGGAGGCTATGACACGGCTTTGACTCACCTTTGCCTTCAAGTTTGTCCAGTTTTAAGTGCAGTGGATTTCACTGACAGTTAATTTCCTTTGTTGCTCATTAACTCCTGTTCTTCTTGTAGTAAATATGGAACAAAGAAAGGAGAAGACATACAGAAGTCAAGACTAGTCATTATGTCTGTTTTCTAGGCAGAAAGATTTGAACACTCACCAAGAGAGGGCTACAAACCTCTTTGCAAGATTTTGGCACATGCTTAAAGCACTTATGCTCATTATAACACCAATTAGAGAGCAGGATATGCCCATGGATGTGTCCTGGGACACTGAAAGAGTCTCAGCCTCCCCAGTGCTAGTACACATCTTCTGTACAGTGACATGCTCCATGGTGTTTTGCAGCTACATAACAAATTACAGGCTCTGGAACTAGCTCAAGCAAGACAGCAGGCTTGGTGCAGCTGTGGGACAGAGGTTGGTGTCAGAGAGAACTGGACTCTGAATCTTGGAAACTGACAATTGGTATTTTTGAGCAGAATATCTCTTCAGATGGGTGAGTCCTGCTCCTACTCAAAATTCACTCAGGAGAGGTGTGACTGTGGAGAGGCCCTCACTGGCATGACACTCCGTGTAGGCTGTGTTCCTTTTGGGATTTCCCAGCAGAGCTCCATCTTATCAGAGAGATGCCAATACAGGCATCATTCTTCATTTCCTGCAAATAAACTTGCAAGAGGTGAAGCTTTGAGAACAGCCCTCTCCCCTTTCCAAACTGCATTCCCATCAGAAAACTTGGAGAAGCTATGATAGGAAAAAATTGTTTGGTTTTTCTTTTTTCTTTAGCTGTGTGTTCTCAAACTGTTTTGAAGGGTTTATAAACCAGGGCATGCAGCTTTGCAATGGATAATCTGCATACTTACTCATTCCCTGACTACAGGCCAGAGGCTTCTCTGTGACAACAAATGAGTTCTGACTGGGCACCAGGTCTGAAAAATATATGTATGCATTGTCACTGCACATCTGGAATTTAGAACTGCTAATGGATATGCTGTGATAGAAAAGAAAAGTGTCTGGCCAATAAACTTGGTTTATATATTTATTTTAAAAAGCATTACCACATTTCTGGCTAGTAGCCTTTCATCCTCTAGACTTTACACCAGTGCATCTGGAATGCTAAGCAGTTCTTTCAGGGATGCAGCCACATCCCAAAAAGCACCTTTTAATTTGAAATAACTTTAAAAACTAATTAAAAAGGAGGAAGGCTTACATACCTAGCCTTGTATATCAGCTCCTACAATCTCAGAAACCACAGGTGAGAATTCTCTCTCAGACTCTCTGTCAACCTACTTTACTTTCCAGTGTGCTGCTATGAACCTGTGCAGCTGTCTTTGAATAATATGTTTTGACCTCATTACATGTGCAACTCAAAAGAGCAATTGTGAGCTGCTTTTTCCCAGGACTAGCAGTGGAAGTCTGAGCATTTTCAGTTCCTACAAGTCACTTTGACCCCCTTGTCACCATAATCATTGAACCCTCAGGCAGAGCTCAGCTCAACTTCTGTAGGGGCAGGGATGCCACTTTTGTCAACTCAGCCTCTCTCCAGTGCTGGGAAATAGCAGTAAAAGAAAGCCTCAGAGACCAGCAAAGAGAGAAAACTGCAAGACTACTGCCTCTCCAGGCATGCTCATAGGCAGCCACCAGAAAAATACATTCCACAATGATACATGAAAAGTATTTCAGCCAAGCTGAAGGCAAGTCTTGTTTACAGACCACCTTTACAGCTCTGAAGCTCTGCCAGGGTCAGTGTTTCAGATCTTGATGCAGAGGCAATGTGAAAAGCTTCCCCACACAGAGGTTGTCTTTCATCTTATTGATGTTTGCTTCTGTAAATCCCATACCTCTATGCTGTGCACTCTGCACAGAGTATTTTTTAGGCAGGAACCAACTCCAAGCTGATGGCAGTCCCATGTATGTTTAAGCGAGGATTTGTAGGGCTGGAGTACTGAAAGCCTGGAGAACCAGAGACACATTTTCACTTTCCTCACTCAAGATTAGGAATTAGGCTCAAACTGTGGAACTAGGTGTGAAAGATCAGCTTTTTATGATCAGGCCACTCAGATGGCTTATTGGCAGCGGTTTTGATGCCCACATGATGGCATTGCAGGTACATGGAGGATATGAGGAAAAATAATTCATTATGCCCTTTCCCATCCATTTTCCACCCAAGCTCCCATGATTGGCTTCATCAACAAAACCAGAACCAGCCCAGTCACTGCTTTATAAAGCTTTATTGCAAGATGTGTTTACATAACGCTGTAGAGGTGAGCTTTTTAACTACTTATATCAAGAACTTTTGGACACTGGTCTGCGGTCAGTTTTCCATATTGACCCTGCATGGCACAGAAAAAAAAAAAATAGGGTGTGATTGGATCTTTCCAGACAGTAAAGTGGGAAGAGTGGGGGGAGAAGAGGAGATAAAAATAAAATCCCCCGTAGTTTACACTAAATGTGACACAGCTTCTGAAGGATCAACACAAATGGTAGGTGAGCTTGGTGTGTAATAAAATCTTAAAAGAGTAATTCAAGTTCTTTATAAAATAGAACAGAAACAAAAATGCATTTTCATGGACAATTGAATTTAACATAGAATGAATTCACCTAAAATGAGAAAATAACAAACAAAACCAAAAACTCAACCTAAAGGACCTGTAGATAATATCTCTGACCATGCATGGCTTGTTTTTTAAATTACAATTCACAGAATAACACTGCTGGAGAGCCTATTTTACACTATGCTACACAGAACATGGAAAAACATGAGTAGTGACATTTACACAATTTTACAGTATTTCTCCTTCGTCTAAGAAACACGTCCTCTTCTACTTTACATTTTTTTTACAATTCCCAGCTCACAAAAAAGGACACTATATGCGCAAAGACAGTCTTTAAAAAGGAGAAATGTATCCAATGCTACAAATAAACCTCTTCTTTCACAGAAGCCTCTGTATTAGATAGTGATTAAACAAAATATATCTCTATCTGCCACTCAATGTGAATGGGGCTAATTAGAATTTTTTTTTTTTTTTGGCATAAAGATCAAACTATACATCTCTGAAACTCCTTGCTATGTTACTATTGAACTGCTTGCCAAAAACTTCTTGGGGTCACATCTGAAATGCCAATTGAGCCAGTTGCTGCCCCAGTTGAAGCAAAGGAAGGTGGGCCTTAAATGCTGTTCAAATGTGAATGGTTTTGTGAATGGTTTTCAACAGGTTGCCTACAACCAAACATTTTCTGATTCAAAACCACTTCAGTTTATTTTCTTTCAGAGCCTGTAAGTACCCGGCAATTTTTCCTCCAGAGGAACATCAACATTTGTATCCCTTCCAGCTTAAACAAGTATTTCTTGCATCCTGGTGCTGCAAGCACAGAGCCACCATCCAACTGTGTCCCAGGGTCAGGCTGCCCACAGTGCACACTGAGCCTGCCTTGAAGGTAACGGGAGGATTGGACCATGTGCAGTGAGCTACAGGAGTGAAAAGGAGAGAGGAATATGCTCCTGCTTCTGCCTAACACCCTGCCCCCATGCATCCTTCGGATAGAGGCAGGCAGTGCATGTGCCTGTCCATGAGCTGCAGTGGAAGGATGAAGGATGAAGGATGTGAAACTGGTGGGCTGGTACCTTGTTCCCATTTCATCTCTGTGAAATCAAAGCATTGCAATAGCCACAGCTGCACAGAGAATGTGAACACAGACTACTGCCATCAGCCACACATTTTGGACAGCCACTTGCTGTGGTTACATCCCCGGGAGACTGCTGCAGGGCAGATGCCTGACAAAAGGAACCATTTGCTGCAACTACAATGGCATTGTGCCCCTGGGGGTTGTGGTGGTTTTTGAAGTCCTCAAATGTAATTTCTTAATAGCTTTTAGTGTTGGCCAGGATACATTTAGAACACAGAACTCCAGGGATTTAAGGTGCTGTCCTGCAGAACTTTACAGGAGGCCCTTGCTGTTCACTCACATCATGACTGGCTCAAAATTTCTGTTAAATTGGGATAATAACTCATACCTTGATATTCACATGTAAGTATCTATTATGCTAAAGCTAAAGTCTTGTCTGTCTACAAAACTGATGTGTTATTTTGCTGACAGAATCAACCACAGCAAGGATTCACTAAAAAGGGGTGAGAAAGAAAAAAGAGAAAAAGACATGTATTTTTGAAACCATGTTTGAAGCTGCTTCCAGTATTGAAAGGAGAAAGAAAGACCCTCATTAAACCACCTTTTTTTTTTTTGTTGATTTTGGATTATGGACAAGGAGCTATCAAACAGAAAGGTCATACATAGCAGCCAAGGGGCTATAAAACATCTGGAATCCATGAGCCTGGTGCCTGGCCTGACTGAAAAGTGAAGAGTGATGAATTTAACTTTTGCGAGGGATCTTTTACTCTCGAGCGTGGCACACAAGCATTCCCTGGGGGTTTCTTCACCGCAACTGCTACTGAGCATTATCTCCACTTGGGAGTGAGATTATAGAAAGTATTTGCATGCAGTCTGCTTTTAAACATCAAGTGAGATGAAAGAAAATTAGGATAGCTTCCCTTTGGAGGTTATTTCATGTGCTAAAGCTTATCTCAGCATCCAGATCAGGAAGGCATTATGGTGGCAGTCAAGCAGACACAGTGCTCTGGGCACTGCATCTGCAGCTGACTGTATCTATCGGAAAGGGAAGAGAGGTAGTTATTATGGCTGGAAGTGTTTAAAAACAGCCTTCATGGATCTCTGAGTGAGAAATGGGAACGTGTTATTACATTGTGTATTCAAGATTTTTATATTTGTCAGGAACCAATCCATATCTCACACAAAACTTGTCTTAAAACAAGTATTACATCCTTATGGTGGGCTCTTCCAGTGATGGAAGGGCAGGCAGCAGCTCAAAACCTGAAGGTTATAATCTCACTAGACAGAGAGAGGCATACAGATATAATGAATTCCTCCACTTCATCTGGAATCCAGTAGCTAGATGAAGCGGAACAAATGTTATTCCCACAGTTAGGGCACTCTGGAGGAAATACTGCCCCCTTACAGATTAGTCGGTCTTTTTTTATCAGGAACCAAAATGGAAATCTCACCTGTAGTTACTGTGCTACACTGTGTCTGATGATCTTGTTGCAATAAATGGTGAGGACAGTGGAATTTATCTGACTGTATACTGGTGCATAAACAAGACCAAGTTATTCCTCAGAAAAGTTGCTATCAGTTTTACAGATAGAGAGCACAAACAGAAAAACAAATGCCATGGAAGAACAGAAACGAAAGAATCTGCCTCACATATAAGATACATCCAGAGAATCTCAAAGAAACCACCTTTCTTTTTTCCTCCTGAACCTATCCCAACCTATACTATTCCCCATATTTAATGTTCTCCTTGATACAGAGCATATAAAGTTTTGCACAATTTTTGCACAATTTGGAAAATACATCTGCCCAACTATTAGTAATTCACCAGCTATGGTGTGTTTCAGAGACAGACACTGTACTATGCTTAAATGAAACACAAATTTGTTCCCTGTTAGAAAGTGGCCACCAACAGCCAAGTGGTCACCAATTTTGCACATTCAGCATATTTTAATTAAAATATTAATTTTCAAAGACTTGTTTGATTTTCTCCCTCCAATCAAATATAGGATCTCTGACAGCATAAATGTACTTTGTTGTGTTTTGCTTTTTTTATCACTTAGCAAGTAGCACAGTTCAACATGACCATTTACATTCAGGGTGTCTTCCTCTTGTTTCAGACTTCAAACACCTCCACGAACCCCCATTACCTTCAGTTCTTTGTTCTAAGCATCCTTAAGCAAGATTTTAAAACTACATGGCAGTGAGCAGCACATAAAGATCCACTTTAAAATCCAGATGCTTATAGGTCTTGCCTATTTTACAGTGAAATTAATTATATGCCACTTCTGTTTCCTAACCAGCTTCTTCCTTTCCACAGCCTTCAAATACACAACATATTGTATTGGTTACCCAACTACTGCCTTCTGTCTACTTGTAAAATTTGCTTTTTAACAAATTGAGGGGAAAACCACATCAAACTCAATGCTGTTCTTAAGAACCATTTCTCATTAGTGACTTTTGATTCCATGGGAGATTCAAGTCATGGGCAGATAAAAAATGAAATGTTACAATCAAGAGGGTGGGCAGCATAGGTAGGATGTTCAGCCACAGGTCTCCCTGCAGTGTTGCCAGCTACCTGGCTCTGTCATCACTTGGATGCTGTGCTCAATGAAATGTGATGAATGACCATGGTTTCAGAGGTTCATTGTGTTTGGTTCAGCTCTCTTGAACAATCTCCAGTGATTATCCTGTCCTTAAAGAGAGCAGAGTAGAATAACTTGAAGTACCTGACCAAGCCTGGGTGCCAGAAGCAACATCGCTATGGCATTAGGACCCCAGCATAGACTATTATTTAACTCTATTTTCCAAGTGTGTTTTGCAGCCAAAATGTTACCATGTTACCACGACTAAACTGCTGCAGTTCCTCAGTTAACCAGCTTGAAGAAAGTCTCAGTTGCTACTGCTGCGCAAACATACCCTTAATCTTAGAGGCTAAGGCAATGGAAAGACACAATCGTGTGCATCATTGAGGATCTATTGGACATATACAGACTTTGGCTTAAAAAGTTCCCTTTATGTTATTGTTGTTTGCAGTTCTCTTTAAAATACTTCAGCACTGGCTGGGGTGACTGTTCAATTCATCTTCACTGCTGTAAATGTCCTCCACTTAAAGGCAGATGAGTTGACTAAAGGTTCTTCAAACATGCTGAGGGCAGTTATAAAAGTCAGTTATAAAACTGTGAGATAAGGGCAAATATATTGGAGTTGTTTACTGTGGTACCCACTCCAATGGTATCAAGGATAATCACAAAAAACCAGTAAAGAACAGCAAAAACACAGCAGGCTTTTTAGCAGGGCTATTTCATATTCAGATTCATTAAATTGAAATAAAATCACCACCACATTATCTTGCAGCAGAGAAAAGCAGCATGAAGGGCACAGGCAAGTGAACAAAACTTCTTGATCTTAGCATCCAAATGCATTTATAGAGTATGTAAAATTGTTGACGTAGATCTCTCTGAAACTGTACAAATGCAGAGTACAACCACAGCTCAACAAGAGGGGGGAATTGTGTTCTCTCCTCTATGTGCATGCTGCTATGTACAGTATGGGTGTGCATTAACGCACATGAAATCAGGATACCAAACTCTCCACTTGTACTGCAGGCCATGGCCTGCCCCACAGGGTGAATCACACTGAACAACACTGAGTTCCTGCAAACAAGACATTCTTTTCCTCCTGTCCAGGTGGAACAGTAAGGCTCCACAGTGAAAATCATGGTCCAGCTGGCTTCAGCAAAAGCATGATTTCGCACCATGACTGCATATGTACAGATACATGCACACATGTCCACACATTCATTCTGTACATATACAAAGGTACACACACATTTTTACATTCTTTGGAGGCAAAATAATAAAATACCCAACAAACCACAGGGTTGCACAGACCGTGCATCTTTGCTTAATGAATCTACTTGAGGAAAATTTGGGTTGCTGTAACAGGAGTTATTTTGCCTCTTTAAGGACTGTTCCTTGCATTGACAAAACGCCATACATTTACAATGACTAAAACAGGGCACAAGGAAAGCCAACGTAAACACAGCTCATATAATGACAGATAACTTAGAGAGCCCCCTCCTACCCACATCAACACACCATGAGAAGAAGAAGCCATGTGCTTTCACTTAGGAACACAAATGCTTCCTCAGTTACCATCTGGACACCATGCTGAGCTGTGGCACACCCTTCTTCTGCCCTGGATGTGGGGTTTTGCTTTTTGTTGCTTGTTAAAATTGAACTAACAGAGGATGGGATGTTGGGAGCAGCAGAGGAGGCTGGCAGTTCAATGCCACGCTGAAGGCTGCCAGCCTGTGTGCTTCAGATGAACGGCTCTTCTTGTGGCCACCTCTGGGATGTCAAACCTGCATCTCAGAAGTGCTGATGAGGCCCAGTGCTTTGGCTTCTTCTGGTGTTAGCCCACTCTTTAGTGTCCTTCTCACTGCACAGTCGTGAATTCCAAAAGCAGACAAAACCAAAAAAACCCAAACAAAACAAAACAAAGCAAAAAACAACAAAGAAAATGCAAACAATTAGAATCAGTAATTACACAAGGCTTTCAGCTGCAAATCCCCTGTTAACATGCAAGCTCAATCAAATCAATAGTTGCTATCTATTTAGGGCCTCAAGTTCAGAAACACTGAGTAATGCCCTATGCCAAACTCATGGGAGCATCAACAGCAACTCCAAACAGGCAAAAATACATTTGTCATTTGACATTTAGTCAGCAAAAAGTTTTAAGAAAAAATACCCCAGCTTTTTAAGATTTTTTTTTCTCTGAAATCGTGTCAGTTGATTTTCAGTCCATAGCAAGTATCATCTGCCCCATTATTTTATAATTTCATAAGAATTTTTTAAAAGAGCTTTGGGATCTTTATAGGGATCTATTGAATTTATCACTATTAAATCATTTGAGAATCTTTTAATTTGTAAAACTCTCTCCCCACAGAGTTAAAAGACTATAAAAATAACTGTAGTTGATTAAAATCATTAAAATGACTGTTTTCATACATGCTTCCCTTTCTTTTGTAATGTTCCCCCATCCTAGTGCCATTTGTGTCATCTTTGCTTTGATACTCTGCAGCATTTTAGCTGAATTTAAATGATCAATGTAAGCCAAAATCTTGTTTCTTAATTTTCCATAGAGCGTTCTGAACACTAGCCCCGACAAGAGTTTTAAAATTTGTGCTTGCCTTTTTTATTCAGAAACAAGTGACTGTGTGACTGCACAAATTGAGCATCAGTGTCCTCCTAATTTTACTGGTGCTTTGATTTCCAGGTGGATGGACTTTAATTCAAGACAAAAGTGGGGTGTTCACTCTTTAATGTTCCTCAAGTACAAAATGCACATTGAGAAGTCCAAGCTTCATGCAAAGCATACACAGTGACTTAATATTGAACAGAATATATTTGGAGCCTAAAAACAATGAACTCTAGAGGAAACTAATCTTAGAGAAACCAATTGCAAAGAGTGGTCAAGGAGTTCTTGCATCATTTAGCACAATTAAGGTATCTCATTTAGTGAGATATTCAGTCCATGTAACTGAAACTGGGTGGTCACACTCAAGGGTTGAGCAGGAGTAAGAGAAGGGAATGGATTGGCATAGAAAACAAGGGGATAAGATAAAGGAAGAATATGGCATATCTGAACATTTGATAACATGCAGGTTGAATGAATGCAATCTATTTTTTATTGTCAAACCACTTTCATCAGATACTGACGTTAATCAAATGAGCTGGGAATGCCACATTTCTAGTTCCTCCATTATCAAACCCTTACTTGAAAACTTTTTTCCAAAACTCACTCCTTTCTCCTAGTTTATTTCTATTATTAAACACCACCAGGGTCTGCATGACAGCCTTTTAGGATACCCAGCTTTTCTTACAGTACTGATCAGCAACATCTCCCAAGTTTACCAGTACTTAGCTTTAAGCACTACAAGGTTAAATGAAACTGACAAAGCTAAGTTTAAGAAAGACCAAAAAAAATACTACCAGGAAAGAAGTAAACATCAGAAAATGCTCTGGTCTCCTTGGTAAAGAATAGCCAACAGGACTTTTGATTCAGTTTTTATCACTGGCACTCTTTCTGGCTTCTCAGATTTGATATCCATAGTGTCCATGGTGACAAGTGTAATTTCTTGACATATGCTGTGGAATACCTTAGGATCTTAAGGTCTCAGTGAATCACCCAATGCTTATTTCTATATCAAAATGAACTGTATGAGGAGTGGAATGGAAGAAAAAAAATCCAAGAAAGCTGCAGTAGAAACATTTCTGTCATATTAAACCTAAAGATTTCCCTGTGTATTTCACTTGCTTAGCTGTCTACACTGCCTCTCCCCTGAATGCTTTTTTTCTTTACCCTCTGTAACATCAGAAGCCAAACATGGACCATAGCTTGTTTGGCCACCAGACAATAGTGTCATGCTAAAAAATACAGGGGACCCAGCTTGCCCAGGGTGGCAGGCTAGATGACATTTCTACTTCCTGCTGATGTAAAAGTGAACCGGAAAACCAAATGTGGAACGAATTTCCATGTTTTAGACACTTCTGTGGAAGTGTCAAACCAAATGTATTCAGGACTGCTCTCACACATATCTCCAGCTCTCTCAGACCACAGTCACTAACTCACTCACTCACTCACTCACTCACTCACTCACTCACATTTTCAAACTGAGCACAGTAACTACTGTAAAACAAAGCTATTTTTTTCTTGTCAGACTGGAAGAGAACAAATTGTTATTCCTGTTTGTAAACATTTCACAGGAACTGATGTACTCTGCTAACACTGGTTAGGTATTGGACTAAGCTAAATTCTTCTTTTATTTATGATAAGATAAATCTGGAGCAAGCTTCTTTAGGTCAGTACAATTGCTACTGCATGAATAATTGAGCTGAGACTCTATCTAAAGGAGAATGAGGGCCTCTGTAAATTCTACCAAGCAGAACACAATTGCTAAATTCCTCCATCAGCATGAGTAAGAGAATTACTAGTTTACTAGGAAAAGCCAAATGGATCTACAATAATATATAGGTTTCTTTGAAGTAAACTACAGGAGTTTATATTCAGAAACCATAATTAGGAGTTAAAATACCATGGTAAAAATCATCTTCATGGAAAAGCAAGTAGTCTTCTTTATGTTAAACAATATAAGTCTCTGAATCTCCAGATGCCTACCTATCAAACATACTAAAGTATTAGACTGACATGCTTTTGTTTTAACCCTTTTATGACTGAAGGAAAGAAATCCTGTATGCAGCAGTTGGTAAAGGCGAGTGCCATGTTCTGGGTTTGCTGTCTGATTCACACAAGAGTCTGAAGGCCAACCCCACACTTGTATTTTTGGTGCCACTGCAAAACAACTAGGAATGGCAATATTCAATGAATTGCTGGGACATACGCAGCTGTAATTAAACAAAACAACCCCAGCTTCTAACTTAGCTCTCCTTTAATACAGAGAATGATAACTTGGGTTTAAAATATTACAACGACTTAAGGTATTAAGCAGGAAATTTCCAGCAGGAAAAAAGAAAAAAAAAAGAGGAAAAAAAAAAAGAGCTCCAAACAATGCAGAATTTTGGGGGTCATAACGAGATTGTCAAGAAAATAATAAAAAGCAAGATGTGAAGAATATTTTCAGTGACAGAATGATTCCCATAAAAACTTATGGCAGCTGACTTGTATAAACTAAGGATGTGGGGCCAAATACTGCAATATACTGTGGCTACTGGCAAGATTAAAGCTATCCACCATCAACAGGCAACTGGAAGGATAACAGCTGACAGAACCATAGTCCAGACTCAAATGAGGGAATTCTTAACCCTATAATGTAACAGGCCAGTATGACACAAACGAAGCCACTTTGTGTTTGAAGTATTATGTACTTAGGGAGATGAAAGTAGTTTAATAAAGGGTCTCTTTGTATAAAAATTGTATCTACTATGCAGAAATTACAGTACATTTCCCCATGCGAAGATACAGTGGATGGGTGCAACATACATAGTAACACAATTTCCAGCCCCACTATTTTCTGCACTGATTTGTTGAATATAAAGGCTTGTGTGTGATGAAACCAGGAGAAGGCTGAGTTATCTACAAGAGCAAAACCTGCTGTGGGAGGTGGGTGAACCTTGTCTTGTCATTCTGTTACACAGATGTCCTCAGTCATTTGTCTATTTCCTCATAAAGCTTGGTAGGATTCCTCTACCTTAGGTCATGAACATGTTCTGTCATCAAAACTGAATGCAGGGAGATATTTTCCTTCCATGTTTTATAGACAATGCAAAATTATATTTCTCAACCTAAGTCTTCACTCTCCCTGCTTCACTGAACCTTGTCATATTTCTAACTGGACTAGACATAATATTTTGGCTTGTAAAACTCTTGGCCTTCTGCAGATCACATTAAACTGAGTTATGGAATGCATTTTGGAGGCAGTGACAATAAAAATAAGACTTTCAAATGACCTTTTAGGTTCTCTGAGCAATTTTTAAAACATTTGCTAAAGAAACGTAACATAGAGAGAAAATAACTTTTACCCTTGTCACAAGTAAAGCCTGCTGAGATCCCATAAACAAGAAACTAAATGTTGTTTTTCTGGGGTTAGAGGGTATGATATTCTTTATTAATCATGAAATCTAGAATTCTATTTGATATTCTGGCAGAATGCAGAGTGCTTAGGATGAATTCAATGAATTTGACTCTGCCTGTTGGGTCAAAATCTACAGAGATACACAGCCTTCACATTATGCTGGAAAAGTTTTTAAAAAGAGTAATACCTGAAGCATAGCTTCTCTCTTAGTTAGAGATCATAATTATCTAGGGTTTGGTTTTTTCTTTAAAGAGCACATAGCACTTCTAATTTCCTCTCTCCACACTTTTTTTTTTTTTTTTTAAGATTTGACAAAGAGTAAAAATCAGTCTGGCTGGCACCATATATTCTTGCATTTGCAATGGCATGTGTGTCTACATTTGTGTGAGTCACTTGTAAGGCAGAATATCTGTCACAATTCTCCTGCTCAGGCAGTCACAGAATGAGTGCCATTCCTGCTACAAAGATGTGGCAGCCACAGAACTTTCCTTCGGTCCCAGCTACAAAGGTAAAGCAGCAAGTTGCTGATTTGGAATGAAGAAAATTCCACGTGGTGTAAATTACACAGCGAGGACAGCAAAAAGGGCAGATTATAAGAGACAATACAGGCCAGCTCCATCATCTCATTTAATTTAATGTATCTTAGGGTTTCTTTTCTGCTACCTATCCACATCCAGCTTGCACACGTAAGTCTATGTTTTCATATATTTACATTTAACATATTGTCTTGGACTTTATTACAGTGAGTCCAGCAATGGCAATTTGCAACTCAAAAGTTCAATTCATACAGCCTTGCTCATATTTTCTTATTTTAATCCTTATCATATTTTTATGCCACTGTCTATAT